TGTATACTATCATCAGCACTTTTTCTCCAGATTATCAGCTGCTGTGCTGTATCTTCATCATGTACTTGAATTTGCCGGTACATTTTCTCAATATCAGCCGTAAATACAAACCGGTGTATTCTAAAACGCAAGAGTATTGAAAAAAGATCACTTTGCACTGTTGGACCTTTGTGCAAAATATCGTTTAGTGCTAAACCGGTTGATGTTTTTGCTGATGCATCAAAGACAACTCTCAATTTGGTTGTAGTGCTGTCAGGTTTCAAGACACAATGATGAGGAATGAAATATTGTGCTCCTTTGACATCTTTCGGGCAAACTTTTTCCATGTGACCTAATGACTCATAGTCATCCATGAACTTTATGTACTCCTTGTATAAATTTGGGTCCCTTTGTAACTTCCTTTCCAGAGAACAAAATCGATTGAATGCTATCTCACGCGATCTACCAAGTGTTGTGGGATCATCGCGGAAGGGTAAGCGTACAATGAAACGACCATCGTGATTTGTCTTTACATAATTTGTTAAGTGATTTTCACACCATTTCTCAGATAAAGTCAAAACCCTTTCTGCAGTCTCAATGTTATCTAACTTCCAAAATCGTTCTATCATTTCTGACATTTCACCAACTTCTCCTGTAGTAATAGCGCATGTTGGTTTAATATCTGTTGTAGTTTTAGTCTTACCAACCACCAACCAACCTAGAACCGAATTTTGTAACAGTGGCGAATTCTTTCCTATTATCAATTGTTCTGGTTGAAGTAGAGTATTATAGAATTCAGCACCAATCAGCATGTCAATTCTTCCAGATCTGTTAAAGCTGGGGTCTGCTAATTCTACATTCTGTGGGATCTGCCAATCCGAGATATCTAGGTCTCGTGACGGTTGTGCTGATATTATTTGTGGCAATACAAATGCCTCAAGTCTCGTCCTGAAGCTTCCATTAGTAGCCTGCAGTTCAACATTTACGCGAGATTTTGAGTTCCCGAATTGACGGCCAATACCTTCGATCGATAGATTTGAATTTGTGGTAATTAAAGATAACTTGTTGATTACTCTTTGGGTTACTAGGTTCACTTGAGAACCTGAGTCGAGTATGGCACGAACATCACACGTTCGTCCATTGTTTGCAATAATGCGCACCTTTGCAGTGGCTAGCAGAACGTAATTACGAGTACCCTTTGCATTAGTTGTTGCTGTTATGGATGGCGATTCATTAGCGTTGATCAATGTTGTGGTTGACTTTGTGTTTGCTGCTGGTGCCCTTGAAGGTTTAGGTGACTGTTGCTCTAACTGAAGCAAAGTGTTATGCTTCTTGGCATATTTTTTACATGATCCAGCTTCACAAACCTTTGCTTTATGATCGGATTTGAAACAATTCACACATAGTTTTTGTCGTTGAATCCAATTTAATCGTTCAGGAGGAGTCATTTCAATGAATTTTTTGCAATAGTAGATCGGATGTTTATCTGTATTACTAACTTTACATAGATCTGAACAAACCATAGTTACGGCTATATTTTGTTGGGTTTATATACTGCATTTTCTCGTAGACCTATAGCCTCAAGTGACTGAAATTTCAATTCTAAAAATTCTAAGAATTGTTTTATTGTGGGCATCTCCCTTGGGTTAGTAAGAGTTTGTTCAAAACTGCAATGTGTATTTTTATCCAACTTTTTTAGTAGTATGTGAACTAAAATTGGATCCCAAGTTGATGTTTCAATATTTAAATTATGAAGTTCACATAGACTTTCCTTGTTGTGTCATGCATATTTTTAATGGCTTGGACTGTTGGATGGTTATATAAAGAGTTTTGAGCTGTCAAACGTTGCAAAACTGCTGATACTAGAACTCTTTTATTTTCATATCTAATTTGTAGTAATTGCCATGCCGTCTCATAATTTGCATCTGATATTTGCAAATGCTTGATGAGTGCTTCAGCTTCGCCTTGAATATTGGTTTTCAAATACCAGAGTTTCTGTGAGTCTGATATTCTTTGATTGTGTATCAGTTGTGCAAACAGATCACTGAATTGTCGCCAACTCAAATAATCTCCACTGAACTTTGGAAGAGATATTGTTGGCAAAGTAGCCGATGGTTGATAAGTTGACCTAATTGATGTCTCAATCTTGGTCGACTTACTAGTCCATTCCACCATTGTATCTTGCACCAACTGTTCCAGTGCTAGATAATGATTGCAATCAGGAGGGTTGTCTTGCCGTTCCTGAATAGTAAAATTTAAACCTTCAGCCTGATCCCATAACTTGGTAAGCGTAGCTAATTTTACTGCAAAATATTGTGGTACCTGTTGCTGGTTATCTTGTCTCACATTGTCGATGAGACGATTGATTGATTTACACACTGCATTTCGTCTGTTGACTAATGCCTGAATAATTTCATTCTCTTGACCACCAGTAGGTAATACTATTTCAGGAGCTTCAACATCATTATTTATCTGAAGGTCCAACCCCTTTATTGTTGATGGTTGAGCCTTAATGGGTAATGCTTCCAGCTCTTGAGTTATTCTGGTGATATATTTGTTACCCAAATTTATGATTACCATGCCGTAATCTTGTGTGAAATATTCCGATGTTCTTGCTAGTACATCGGCTTGTTGTAGTTGCTCATCATTAGCCTTGAAGTCAGCTAATAACTGTTCTAAAGTTGTTTTACGATCTTCGAGATATTGACGTGTTTTCCTGCTGGGTGAGTCCTTCTTGAAGTTGCGAATGATTCTGTCGATCTCTGAACCAATTGAATCCTGCTGGTCAGTTAAAGTGGATATTGATTTTGGATCCATGGTTATTGTATTTCCGTTGAAAAAAGTTGTTTTTAATGAAGGTTTTTTGTAAACGCTGCTGGCTCACACTGAGTTGCTCTTGCCAATCCCGTCGGGGTCACCAATGTATACCACGTAATCTGAGGTGGTGTCAAATACTGTATTTTCTTACTTCGTTACACTGACTATTAGGCACATAAACCAATAATCAGGTATTTATGACGAAAGGCTTGCAGGCACATAAACCGCTAGCCAAGTAAGTAAATAATTTTTATTTATTGCTACAGTGGTTAAAAGGCACATCTACCAATAACCAAATTTTGATTTTGAAGTAAAGACGATTGTTTTCGCTCTCAAGTTTTATTATCAATATTGTTACCTTATATAGTATAGAATTACTTACTAAGCATAATAATATTTACAATTATTGATGACTAAAATAATAATTTAAATTTCACATATTGCTGCATAAGCATAAATACAATATGTAAAGCTATTGAACTTATAAACATAAACAATGTATTTAATATTTACAATATTTATTTGCTGCATAAGTGTAACTACAAGCGAGCTAAAATATGTTAGGTTGGTTAAACTTAACAAGGCGTCTTCGTAGTCAGCGAAAAATTTATTCAAGTGTGTGATTCTTGTGTAATATCTCCTCGTGCTGAATTGGTTGTTAGGAAATCGTGTTGTGTTCGTGCAGTATCTAATGTGTTAGGAAATTTGTAGCATTGTAGCATTAAATTTTTATTGAAAAAAATCTAATCGTTGATTCGTTTAAGCCTCCTCAGCAAGCCAGATGTAATAAAGAGATTGTGGGCAGTCCCGTTTGAATGCTGTTCTAACCGTTGTTGATGCTTTAACGCAAAGTTTAATTACTGAATCTACAGCTTCGGTTTTCAAGTCCCGATGAAGGTCAAGATTTCTAACCAACCACGGAGCATCGACATGACCGCTAATCTTAATATATGAATATGCTAACGATTTCAGCTAGTACCAAAAACTATCAAATTATAATTTTAATTGTCAATAATAAAATATGAAGTTTCTCCTTTTCACGAAATAGTTGTATGGAAAACTTGATAAGCAGCATTCCATGGTAAAAAAATTTGTGGACATATACGGGGATCGCTATTTATATTTTCAGCTTTATGATCAAAAAATACTAACTTGTTGAAAGTTGCTTAACGTTCCTGTAATGGCACTCGTATATTTGCCACATGACCTGTTTTCTCGGAAAAAACAAGCGAATATTTGTTTCGAATTGTTTCGAACGCGAACAGCTTTTGTTGTATTTGATTCATCCTGAAACTCCCATACACTCGACTACTGTTTACGTTCCAGCTAATGCGCATATATCCATTATTCGTCACTTGTTACAATCTTAGACTTGTATATGCCTTTAGAAACACCGCCATTGTACTTCCTTCTTCTATTATTTGTGTGCACTAATCTACACAATAATCTTTTTGAGATTTTGATAAATGATGGGGGATCCAACGTCAACAAACCTTTCTCACGCCTAATTGATCGTGCAACATTTTATGTACGTCAATGGAACCAATGCCTAGAGCTCGTGGCCACAGTTCTCTCACTGTGGAACATCATCGCTAAATGTGAAAGTAAGTTGATCGATGCTCACTTATCTTGATTCACATGGAAAGTCGTGATAAATCAACGCATGAAAATTTTGCCGCGTTAATTATATTTTTTCGCGAACGCTGTAACGACCACTTTATTTGCTGAGGTAAGCAAAGCGGCTGTCCAGACTCGTTGCAATGAGTTAGAAGATATGGAAGTACACGTAATTTAATTTATATTTCCATTTATTACGCTTCAAGAACTATCACAGATTCCTTCAATAACAAAACTGTATTTAAAAACCCCGAGGTTTCATTAAATTACAAAGTTAAATTAATTTCGCACGCACTATATTTGTAATCAAGAAAAGAATTAAAAAACACACAATCTTTGTTGTCACAGATGTAAGTTGTGGATTTCGATATCACTGTTGGCTCCGAAAAACACGCACAATCCTCGTTATCTAAGATGTAAGTTGAAGATTTCAATTTCACTGTTGTAACTAGAACTACAAACAACCTTTGCTGTCTAAGATGTAAGTTGTGGATTTCGATTTCACTATTGTAATAAGAACTATATCTTCGTTATATATGACGTATGTTATAGATTTCGAATTTACTGTTGGCTCTGGTTCAGGTAACTAAAAGAGGCCTGGAGGAAACGCGTCTATCACTTGTAGTGTCCTTGGTCCCTCTTTTTCTTCAATAATAATAAGCCTGGTTAATTAAATATAATTCAATAGAAGACTGAATAAGCCAAGTTTAGATTGAATTAAAATTGTAAGCTGAATGAGCCTGTGAACTTAAATAAACTGCATGAGTAAACCAGGTTTAAGTTGAATTAACCTGTAGGCTGAATAAGCTTGTGACTTGTCATACCTTTCAAGGTAAAAATACAAATCCCCGATCCTTTTTGGTGCGGTATATCTGTACATTTATCGTTGATATTTTCGTTGCTTGTGGTGTTCTGTTGCTGTTGTTTTCCTGTGTAATATTTTTTTATTTTTATTCATTAGAGGTGGAATCTTATAAAGATGCTGTATAAGTATGCCGAATTCAAACTCTGCGCTACCACCCTTTCTCGAATTTATACAGGTACGATGCTCTTGCATATGTCAAACTTGCGACACAGTATACCTACGGACTAAACTTTATCCCCTATAAATAACGTTGCCCTTTAGAAAAATGTACCGCGGGACCGCCAAATAGGTATTACTTCGCGGGAACAGGGCGAGCACCAACGCTCTATTTCTCAATTATCATTAACTCTTCTTTGGTGTTCTTGTTCGTCTCGTCGCAGTTGTTGCATGATTGCTGTAATTATGTGGTTAACTTGTTCCCAGGCATCTTTAGACAACATTTTTATATATTACACATGTGTGTAATATCTGTGCTTTTGTGTTTGTAGTGTGCTATATGGCTTTCGTATGCTTTGTGTTTTCATGTGCTTTTGATTTTGTATTTGGTTTACTTCGCGTACTTTGTGATACTTCAAACACTTATGCATTGGACATTATGAGGCATTGCCGTTTTTATTTTCACTAAAAGAATTCCCAATAGGCGATTTCAAAAAACATATTTTCTTATCGCTCGCTTCATCACTCTTTTATCTGAAGGCATTTTTAAAATCGAGTTTGAAATTTACTTATGGAGTGACTCACAAATTGCGTTACATTGGTAACGTATGCATTCATCGACATTATAAACTTTCTTGAGGAATTGAGTTGTAGGTATACAAGATATCACCATTAACTGCAATCGGAGATATGTACCATCACAACAGAACCCAGCTGATATTGAATCGAGAAGCTGCACAGTTCCAGAAATTATTGACTCAATTTGAAATAAAAGCTCAGCGTTTTTGTCTGGCTCGCAAATTGGTTGGCCTAAACTTAATTACTCTAGTTTTGATATGGAAAAAGTTCATAAGGAAAAACGAAGGGCGAAATTTTTCGTCGTACAAAAATCTACACAAAAATATTCAATCATCAATCTATAAAAATCTTCACACTTAACTAGTGTACGTGTTATAGCTTGGATATTGTTAGATTACAGACAGGAAAAACACATGTCTGTTCAGTTTGATGTACTGTATTAGAGAGATGTATAAAAAGGAAACAAAACAACGTAGTTACTTATAAATA